GTTCACCACAGGTTAGACAGAGCATGCATTGTTTCGCCCGAGCAGGAAGGAGGGAGGGGAAAAACAGGGAGTGGCTGGAGCAAAAGAAACCAAGACAAAAGCAGTGAGAGTGACTGGGGTGTGACTGATTTGAGTTCTTCAAAAGGCTCAAAGCCTTTTATCTAAACCTCTCTATTTAACCATCGCTCGTCACACGCCTGCCATGTTTGTAGTTTTTAAACACTTTTTATATGTGTTTGTAGTTCTGAACCGAATTCTGATTTGAAGCCAAATGGATTGTGGCGAATATTAGCTGTTAAAAGATGCATGGATATGCACTTCGAAAATGTATAGTACTTTTAGGATGCTCATTTCAACATATACGATTTGGGACATTGATTCTAATATTGAATACTATTTAGGACAGATAGTGTGCAAATTGGGACGGAGTATCAGAGCCCATGAAACCCATCAAAATAAGAATCTTTAGAACAACAGACAGATAATATATATGACTTGTATTGTATTTAATTAAATAGAAATGATCATGTTGCAAAAAAAAAAAAGGGAGAGATGTTGAGAAGTGTTGGGTTTAAGATTTATGAGGTGAAATTAATTTGACATAGCTGTGTCATAACAATGCTTTATAATTATATTGCGCTGTCACACCCACTAAACAGGTTAGGTTCACCGTTTCTGTGGTTTCTAACATGCACTGATTGATAGTTAACTCAGTTTTTGAAACAGAAAGTTATGTTAACTAACCCTGCTTTCCAGAATATACTGTAATCTGCTGTTTTGGCCATGTGTTCGTATGATGACATGAAAAGTGTAAAATGTGACAACATTTCAAAAATAGATGATAATTACAGTGAGGCGACACTCCAGAAGACTGTAAATCAGTTGGGCGCGTGTCTAAGTGTGTTTGTGTGTTGCAGAGACTCATTGAGACCGCACCCTTCGGTGAAGACGCAGAGACCATCAGCCAACAGATCCTCAATCACAACAAGTTCCACAGTTCAGTCCAGAGAAGCCAGGAAGTGGACAGAGCACGGGATGAGCTGGTATGTGCTTTGAAAGCGAGTTGTGTGCATGCTAATGGATGACTGGGTGTGCTGTTGATTCACACTGCATAAGGTTGTGCACCATTCAGAAAACGTGACGTGGCCAAGTATGGTGACCCATACTAGGAATTAGTGCTCTGCATTTAACCCATCCTTAGTGCACACACACAGCAGTGAACACACACACACTGTGAACACACATTTATGCTGCGGCGCCCGGGGAGCAGTTGGGGGTTCGGTGCCTTGCGCAAGGGCACCTCAGTCGTGGTATTGAAGGTGGGAGAGAGCGCTGTACATTCACTCCCCCCACCTACAATCCCTGCCGGTACGAGACTCGAACCCCCGACCTTTGGGTTACGAGTCCGACTCTCTAACCATTAGGCCACGACTTCCCCAGAAGTTCAGAAGAGAAGTGAGAATGCGTTTTAAATTCAACTGAAATTTGAATTCAAATGTGAATTTTGGAATTTGAATTTAAATGTCACTAAAGTGGAGTAACATTCAAAGAAATTCAAATACTCACTTCAAGTGTTGTTTTATAATAGATTTCATTGCAAGTATGATAAACATGTACTGACAGAATCTTTCTGCTTCAGCTGCAGAGCAGAGAAAAGGCTGGACTCCACTCTCTGGACCAAGAATGGGACACTTTACAGGTCAGCTAATAAAGCATCTCTCATTTCACTGTATCATTTTTGAGATGTTTCTACACTTTTACACCACAAGTGATTCAATTTAGTTGATTATACAGTCAAATGAGTTCTGTTTATAGATGTTTGCCCCCGATAGTCAAAAGTTTTGACACACCTACTCAAAACTTTTTTTATTATTACTATTGATCACATTTTAGAATAATAGTAAAGTCATCAAAACTATATGATAATACAAATGGGAATATTATGTAGTGACTATTTTAGACTGTAAATGTTTAACAAATCGGTTCTCTCCAGTGTTTGAGCTTCCTCAGAGTAGCTCGCATTCTCTCAGTCTGATCTTTTCTTCTTCTCACCGTGTAGAAAATGTCCCATGTGCGTACAGCTCAGCTGCGAGACTTGCAGAGCATCATCGAGGAGATCTCCAGAGCCATCATGTGGGTCAACGACAGAGAGGAAGAGGAGCTGGTGTTCGACTGGGGAGATAAAAACATCGACACCTACATCCCACAAAAACAAGAGAGCTACTCGGTAAGGACTCACGCACGATCATCAGAAAATAATATACACCAATGCAAATGATCACAAATGCATATGGAATTTGTAAAGCAATTTTCACAATTCAGAACAGCTTTTACAATGCATGTTTTTAAAGGATACAATGTCATTTGGCTCTAATGAACTGAGAATCTTTAGTGTAAACCTTACTGTAAAGAGTTATCCAGTTTACATTTATTTATTTGTATACATGTATTAATTTAGCAGACACTTTTATCCAAAGTGACTTGCAAAAAAAGGACCGTCACAAGCAATTTGTCAATATTTGAAGAGTTCATTTGCAAAAACCGATAAACGGCACTTTAAAAAAATTGCCGTGCATTATTCTCCACATATAGCGCGATCTGAACCCTAAACACGTTTTGTCAAAAAAGCCGGTTTTGTCCACTTTCAAGGCATCGCGAGTTCACGTTTTACTGCAGAAGCCGACAAGCGCCTTGTTGTTTTTGAACAGAAGCCGATAAGTCCATTTTAGCGAATCAGCGCGCTGTATTCAGGTCAGGTGACGAGGCTACTTTCCCTTTGAAAAGACGTGCTAGCTGAGAGGAGTTTCGTCAAAGCTGACTAAAAGTGATTGAGGATGGATAATTTCGACGAACTTGATGAACCTGTGATATCTTCTTCAGGGCGAAAAAGGAAAACAAAAGCTGAAACGTCTTCACGGAACCTTGCTAAAGCAACGCGTTACAATGCATACAGTTTATGATCACAACAACAACAACAATGTTTGTCAGGCATCTACATTGTCATCTGAGGAGATTACAAAGAGTAACGAGTGTTTTTTTAAACTCTAAAACATAAAATGTGGAGTTATCTGCTTTTGCCAAAAAATGACTGTTGGAGTTATCTGCTTTTGCTATAAAACAAACTTTTAATATGTAAAAAA